ACTAAACAGCGAACAAATACAGAGGTGAAGACAATACCATGCATACACAGATAGTATATCAAATTCATGTAACAGATTAATTTAGAGACCTTCATATAATTCACTACAATACAGGTTTTTTTGTACTTCCAAATAAATGGAAAACAAAACGATATTGTTTTCCATTTATTGGGAAATACAAAAATCCTTTCTTATAATGAATATCATATACCTGATGCCTGAATTTTTTCAAACCGTTAAAAGTGAACTTGGTTTGGACACATAATTTCAAACAATGTTTAACATTTTAAAATGAAAAAACATCTTTGAGTGTTGACGATATTCAGCTAAATTATAAATATTCTATAGGACCTGACTCCTGCTCTCAAACTAATTCTACGCGAAAAGTTTTACCATTTCCAAATTAAGAAGAATAAATATTCTTGATACAAAATAAGGCTTTCACATCACATAACAACGATAGAAAATGCACACGAAGTCACATGCATAACTAAACCGCATTCCACAGAAACTGAGAAGTAATCCATATTTTCAGATATAGAATTAACCACATCAAATTTACACAGCAAGGCTGTTAAGCAACGAATTCGAAAACCAACTTGTGAGTATCGAGTCATCATATTTTCCCCATAGAGCTTGGTGTGAGTAAAACTACGAATTGAATAAATATTCAATTAAGCAGTTACGTCTGTAACTAGATCGAGACATTAAGTCCCAATTAGACGAAGAAACAGCACTGATCAAATTACTCTACTCGAGCCTATGCAGCCAGGTGAGAGCCTAAGAAGTGAAGTGGTGACAACCAGAAGTGTCCATCAGGGATGCCCACTGTCCCCTTTTCTGTTTAATTTCATCATAGATGTACTAATGGACTCAACCCTGACAACTTCAGAGACTCAGGGATTGACTTATTACCAGGGAATAATCTAGTTGACTTAGAATATGCAGATGATATAGTCCATTTAGGTGAAGACGCTGATAAAATGTAGTCTTCTGAAAAAACCTTGAACTGCAATCTTCGAATGTTTGGCATACTATTCGCTCCGGTCGAATGCAAGCTGATGCTACAGGACTGGACTACATCGACTCCTAGCTTAACGATAGGGAGTGGAGTGCTGGGGCATGTTGACCACTTCACTTATTTGGGGAGTTGCACCAGCCTCAACGGGTTGATAGCCGCCGAAATCTTAGCACGAATGCTCAGCAGTTCACTCCATCCTTCCTTCATGACTGTGACACGTAGTCATCGGAAGTGAAAGACATGTCTTTGATCATATGTATCTGCGTTTTGTCTCCCACGTTAGGTGGTATAATATGGTGAGCAACAATGAGGTTAGGCTTTGTTAAGGTAAGGAGGAGAAATCAATCGACGAGATGGTTAAAGCCAAATGATACCCATGTCTCGCAACCGTCTTCCTCGACTGGTAATGATAGCTAACATAGTATCAGGTTGGAAAAGAGTTAGTGGTGGTCAAACGAAAACATGGCATCAGTCAATGAAACCCAAAACAGTTAGTTTAAGCCACGTAGGAAGGTGTAGACTTCCCACTTGGGGTCCACAGGATGGTAAAAACCAATGGCTGGAAACGATTGGTGGTATGGCTAAAATTTGTGCTGTGGCGCAGATGCATCCACTCCTTGTGGTTTATAATATCCAATAAAACTATTGTTTTCCAAATTAATATAAATTTTTCCTTACTCTTCTGTTTACTATCTCTCCCTCTTTTAAATCTCTCTTTACTTTCTTCTCTTGCTATGTGTGCTACATAGTGTGGTAACTCGAACTGCTGCAAACCTGTGCAAAGTCCTAATTTGAAACCAGTCGATCAAGTACTTAGAACTGCAATATATATTCCGAAATCAGGTTTCGTTCAGAAATGCTATTCGCTCTGTACAAGCTCACGCCTTTCTGGATTTCGTGTACTATATTAACAGACTACAACCTTCTGCAACAGCACAGTAATGATGAAATAAATCGTAGCTTGTGTGAACACAAGTCAAGTAATATCATCATTTGATATCATACTATGATGCGTACTCGAAGTACCCAGAGATTCTATAATTCTTTACATGACTTATTATAAATTCACTTCAACCCGACGTACAAAATTGGTACAACGTATGCATCAAGAAACGCACCACACAAATACAACAATAAAGCGAACAGAAAGTGATCACAAGAGTCTCACTTACCAGACTTATTAACAAAAAACAGCAGCGTAACAGCAATCAGCTTCAACTGATCCATATCATAAAGGCTTTGAGAAAGTGGAACACTTTTGTCAGTGGACAGTCAACAAGTATAGTGAATTGTCAATCCACAGTGCGACTTTATTCCCCGCAACAACTTCCTCATCTGCATATCAGCTAACCGCAAAGAAACCATAGGATCGGTACCTATCAAAAACTAAAACTAGTGATGTCGATGTCTTAGGATGACAGCACTCATTTGACGACAGCTTACGTGATACCTAAATACAATTGACGGGATTGTATATTGACTTACATAGTATCATCATCAGATACTAGTAATCGTCCCCTTGTTCATCTTTTATTACATATGTTTAAAGTCAATACTCATTCACAATTTCCCATGCTAACACCTGCTAAATTTGTTTCCTATTCCTTTATTTAGAGTGACGACGCTGAGAAGAAATAATAACTTTCTTCTGAAGTCGTTCTGGATGTCTTCACAGGAGAACTCAGACTTTCTTCCGATAACTTGCCGCATTTTACTATTTTTCTCTCCCCCTAAATCACTCTGCTATATCTTGCGAAAAGGATAAAATCCAAAATTGAAAACTAATTCTTACTGTCTTACCATCCTCACTGCAATCTGAAGTTTCATCATCAACATCTAATGCTTCACACTCTGAAGACTCGCTTGTATCTTCCTCTTCTTCCTCGTCTTCTGACTCACTTTCAAACCAAGCCTAATGAAAAAAATAAATACACGGAATACAATTGTTCTGATAAGTAAAGAGATGTGGTGATGAGGCCCTACCCTCTCAGAATGTGAGGAGTGATTAATAATAACAATAATCAATAATAATACAGAGACGGTTTGATAGGTAGATTAACCCATGAAATTCCAATGCGACCTATGAGTGCCGGTAGACTAACGAGCACTGCGAAATGCGCAAAAACCAAATGACAGTTTGTGAAAGGATACACCCCAGGCACCCGGATCGAAAAAGGGGGTTGTCTTTAAAGGGCTACTCCCCTCCCCTCTCCGAGCCTTTGACTAGAACTCTGATCCACAAAGCAGCTGAACTGAGTTCACACGGTTACCAGTAACCAAAACAGTTGAATAAGCTATTCTATCCGTTCAGATTCTGGAATCCATAGATTCGCAATCAGGTTTTCCAGCTCCCCTATGCAGATGTGGACATCTACCAGCTTAGTGTTAAGCACCAGACGTTTACATTCTTTCTTTCACTTGTGTGAGGAATACCTCCCATAGCATGAAGGCAGTGAATAGGACTTACCTGGTAGAGGGTATGGACGCGTGGCCACTTGAGAGCATTTCTACAGGAAGACAGAAGTTTACCTATCCTCGGTTGTGCCAAGTTATTTGAGGGGGGTTGTGTTACTGAACTAAAGCTTTATGTGTAAAATCTGCAAGAACTATAGCATACTTACCAAAAATAAAACCATAGGATAAATAAGAGCAAAGCACACTTCAGACCTAATTGATTGTTTTGTATATTTACCATGAGAAACACCACCCAGACTTACAGGTTCGTTTGAGTTTTCCTGTGAAATAGGATGACCCACAAAAGAACAATTCACTGTGAATATTTTTTGATAGCCACATTCAGCAGGAGGAATGATACAGGGTCTCACAGACTCTAGGTAGGTTGACAACAATCCCAGACAACCAACGACAGGAGATAAACATTTAATTTAAAATGCTACTATTAATAGTTACAGACATGAAGATAAAGCAAGAAAGGAAACAGAAACGGAAAGCAGTATGAAAGATGACTGTGGGAAAACTGTAGTCCTACCATGTAAGGTACATCAGAGCACAAAATGAATCTAATTAAACAAACTAAACCAGTTAAAAGACCGAAACAATTGGACAGAAATAATGTAATGTACAAAGTATCTTGTGCTGACTGCCCAGTTAACTTTGTAAGCTAAACGCCTATATAACTCAACAAGACTCAATGAGAATGCACAGTAAACTATGCGTTAACCCACAGGAACAGAAGAGCACTAGAGTTTAAAAAGAGTTCATATGTGGGATGAGAAAAATATTGATTGAGTCAGTATCTGTATTTTGAAGTCCAACATGGAAAATTGGAAAGGAAGATAAATGATAAAACCTAAATTTACAAATGACACCGCAAACACATGCAACTACGATGACTCAATAATACTTTCAATACTATGGAACAATTCTGGATACAAAATTAAATACATAATATGAACACTATATAGATGATTATTAGTAAACATATGGAAAGAAAATTCCAACAACTGGTGTAACTAGAAGTGGCAATTTCGCCCAATATAATACGGAAATTTAACACTTGTCATTGTGTGCAAACAACACTAAATACAAATTACAATAAAATGATGATAATACCTAACGATTTAAGCATTGATATATATATATATATATATATATATATATATATATGATTAGTGACCTAGCGAGCAGATGGCAACTACTTAGTTGATAGAGGAAAGATCCCATGTACAATGTAGATTCACCTGTCAGAGACTTTCACAGATATCATCAAAGTGAAAATCAAAGGACGTAGCTAATTAAATCGCTGAAAATTAATGTCACGTTTAATTGCACATATTACTTTTTTTTAACGGCCACTCCATAAAAATTTTTCTAAACCAAATCTAATAGAAATAAATGAACAGTGGTGGGAATCAAACAAACGTTGATGAACTTAAGTATTATTACATATACGGTATGGTTGCCTGAAGGTTAGGATAAATTTTCGAAAGAAAAACCCAATACTACAAATCACTAGTATCAAAATTCGATAAAACTATGTAAAAACACAAACACGGTACACTATCAACACCAAAGGATACGCTATTCAGAATAATCGAGCAACAATACAAGAGAAAAATAATAGTTCAGCAAAAACGGAATGAAATGATTAAGCATATTTATTAACAAGTACAGTCAGAGGAGCATCCATTATTTCATATTTACTTAGAAAGTTAAGACGGAAAACTACGACATATTTGCCACTAATCGTGAATTTAAAATCTCTGACAGTATATCGCAATTCCCACCATCATTTAATGAGTCTTGACTTACCGATAAACACTAATTCAACAGAACTATTCTTTATGTGTGAATACCACCTCACAGTTATGACATTTCATTTTTTTCAACCAGGTTAACAAACAATGGATAGTATAAACTAAAAAGATATAGGTCACCAAAGAACATTCCTTTCACAACATCACTTCAGAGCTGTACATTTACATAGTATTCTAGAACGCCATGTAAACGATTATATAGGTCAGTTGTTATTATCAGTTGGCAACAAAGTTCTTCGAAAAGGATTATCGACAACAGTTCCAGGAACATTCCTGGTCGTATGTCTGCCTCAACTTCTCCAAGCAACAGCTTACTAACCAAAACGTCAAAAACAATGTCCCACTGCTAACACGATCCATATACATTCATCAATTCATTTCCTCTTCAGGGTCTAAGTATATAGAATGCACTAGTACGACATGATCTAGACGAACGCAAGAATATTCCCCAGCATGATGGTCAGAAGGAGGAATTAAGAGTCAATAACTCAATTCTTGATCATTCTGAATCAATACTGATAATTACGGTAAGGCAGAGTCGTTTGAAGAGTTTACGGTTACATTTTATCTACAACAGGAGCGCAAGCTACATACAAAGAAAATTCTGAACTGTATATACAGAATAGGTTTGTCTAAACCCTTTCATTACCGTGGCCTTGAACTTCTTTTCATCAGGTACAATAATCATTCCGTATGTATTCCATATTTTTCTTTATTTTGAAAATTCCTAACTTCGTAATACACTGAATTTCTTACTTTTCTCAACAATATTTCTGTTTTCTATTTTTTCTAGTGTAATAATTTCTTATATAATGTGTTTTATCAACTGACATTAACAAATGACCTTTACAAGTATTTCCATGAACTTTTACAACACTAAAATTGTACAGCTGAGTGTAGTTACAAAAAGAACATTTTTGCTGACCTTTCCTTTTAACTTATACTATACAAATAGCATGAACGCTGCTGGAACGATATTAAAAACAAATGTTCAAGGCAATGAAGCTGAAGTTCCTAAATGATAATGCGAATTAGAAAACGACTTTTACACTGTCCTAACACGCCCCAAGTATCATAGGAATTACTCACAGTGCCACCATCTGATCCATGCTCTTCTGATGCGACAGTCATAGTGGAACACGCAGCGACATTGTGGCTGGAAGATTTCATTTTTCACAGGTATATTGCCAAACTGCGAGCGCTGAAGCATTTTTAAACATAAACCCTAACTGTTACCAGTACTGCAACGGAAATGGAGGTAACAAATACTCATGTATGCCACTCTAACTTGAGTACACGCATAACAATTCCACCATCAACACAACTACTTAGATACACGTACTAAGCAGAGTCAAAATAGTTCACAGGCGGTGAGTGAGAAACATGATTCGATCGATCTAGCAAAAATGCTCTGCACTCAGATGCTTTAAAACCTCGCCTAGTTTACTAGCTCGGTAGCTTTTGAGCCAGTAGCAACCCCGAGAAGAGAGAGGGATAGCCATGGAAAATCAATGTAATTGTTACAGAAACTTCAAAGCACACGAAAAGTATATTTTTAAAAAGTTATTCTTCTCTGGGAGCAAACAGAGGAAATGACCCCGGCTACTGCAAGGCTTCGAGAAGCCAGTCAGTTGATGTGTCACCTCACAATGAAAGCACAAGTAAGAGGGAAATTGAATATTCGTACAATGTAAGAAGGTGGGAAGGCTGCCCGGGCTGTCGAAGAAATGAGACGTTGAATACAAATGCTAGAAATCTGTGAGAGCAGGTAGAATGGAATTGCACTCTTTAACTTGTTAACTGGAGAGATAGTAATCTACTCCAATCACTCATACAACAGCCATGAGGATATTGAAGGAGTGGTCACCACTGGTCACCACGATGTTACCAACAAAATCTAAAGCACTTTATGGAGTGCGGACGAATCTCCTCCTGGATAATGACATCAAGATCCAACTCAAAAGGAAGGGAAGTTGCAATTATCCAATGCTGCGCGCTTAAAAACAACCCATAACAAGAGAAGAAGGAAGATTTCTGTTGGCAACACCAAAAGATGATATGAAAATTCTAACGGGCAAAATGAATGCTAAACCGGAAGCAGAAAACAGGAAAGAAGTCATTATCGCTCAACAGGCACTCGATAAAATGAATGAAAACGGTGAACTCTTCGCAGATTTCTGTTCCTCCAGTGATTGTGATTGAAAGCACTGTGTACAAGCATGAGTAAATGGACAAGGCTATATGGGTTTCTCCAGAACTCAGATAAACTTTCTCTCAATTTCAAGAAAGTGGAGACAGTCTGTTGGACACGAAGTCGGGAAAGGGAGTAGAAGTCGCCTCAGACCAACACCTAGTGCGAGGAACATTCAAGGTCAAGCTGAAGGCTTTCAAAACAATAGGAGACAGACCAAAATTCAAGTCCAACACTCAGAAACAGAAAGACTCAACTGCAAATGACACCTTCACTCCAGCCATCATAGTAAAGCCGGAGACACTACGCAGCATCAGAGAGGAAACCTGTGTGGAAGAACGTTGGAATTGTCCGAAAGTGGTGTTCAAGGGAACGTGTACAACCGTTTCAGGAAGGAAGAAGAGGCTAGACAATTAATGGCGCTCTACGGACACATGGAAGCTAACAGAGGAGAGGAGGATGGTGAAACAGAAGCTGAACCATGCAAGATGGACAGCAGAAGGAGAAGCTGAGTTCAATGCATATCGCACTGAATAAAGAAGTGCAGAAGAGACAAAAACACAATTCTACGACACACTGGCAACTGAAGCAGAGCAGGTCAGGCCGCAGGTAACAGACCTCAGAACACTATTTCAGTTAACCAGATCACTATCCGGGAAGAGATCAACTCAGATGGAACCAATAAAAGATGGTCAATGGAACCTAATTGCCCAAGAGCAGAGACAAAGAAAACAATCGGCTGATCACTTCAATGGACTCGTCAACCGACCATCACCTGAAACCTGTCCAGAAATATCAATACCAGAAGGCACAGAACTGCCAGTGGACACCAATCCTCCAACGAAAACACAAGTTTTGAGTCCAATGAAGCTACTGAAGTCCGGGAAGGCAGCAGAACCGGACGGTATTCCTCCAGAAGCACTGAAAACTGATTTAGAAGTCACAGCGGCTATCCTTACACCACTGTTGCAAGAAGTTTGGAAGGCAGGAAACGTACCTATTGACTGAAAGAAAGGCTACCTCGTCGGACTACCAAAGAGGGGAGACTTAGACCCTTACAAGAACCTGTACGGAATTATGCTCTTGTCCACATCTAGCAAAATATTAAGTCGTGTCATCTTGGAGAGACTAAGGGAAGCTCTGGACTCGAAAATCCATCCGGAACTAGCTGAATTCAGAAAAATCTAATCATGTGCGGATCAAATAACAACCCGATGCATCATCATACGACAGAACACAGAATGATAGTAAAACCTCCACCTCAGCTTCATCGCCTTTGAAAAGACTTTCAACATCGTTGACCGAGAGGTATTTCAACACTACGGAGTGCCCAAAACTTTTATCAACCTCATTCAACAGGAATATAACAATCCCACGTTTCAGATAATCCACAACGGAAAGCTCAGAGGAACCATTGAAGTGGAGACAGGAGGAAGACAATGCTGTCTACTATCACCGACGGTATTCCTAGTTCTGGTGCACTGGACTGCGTGCGAGACTGTGGGGAGAGAGAAGACGGGAATATGCTGGACCAATAGGAAGACTCTAGAACATCTAGATTTCAAGGATGATTTATGTACAATCTCACACAAGCTCGAAGACCTACAGGCGAAAACCAACAGATGGGTAGAAGATGCTGGCAACGAACGGAGGTAATGAAAATAACCAACCAATAACAACAACCAGCACAAATTACTATCAACAGAAGAAATTTGAAAGAGGTTACTTCCTTCACTTATCTGGGAAGCATCGTTTCAGCTAGGGGTGCAACGGGCGGGGTTGTCAAAACCAAAATCAGAAGGCACGATAGACGTTCATCACTCTGAAATCAGTTTGGAAATCTTCTGACTCAGAATAGAGAACAAAATTCGGATTTTCAATACCAATATTAAGTCAGTTAGTTTTTCCATATGGGTCAGAAAATTCGCTTGTCACAGGAAGTATTTCCAACAGCAAGCTGACGACTTTTATCAACAGCTGCCTTAACTCAATGCTGAGGATCAAATGGCCGGCCGGAAAGAATTAGCAACAAGAAACTCTGGCAAGGAACCAACCAAGAACCTATCGGTCAAACAATATTCCAAAGAAAATGGAGATAGATCTGGCAAATGCCGAAGAGACTTACGAATGACATCGCGCGCCAGGCTGTCGCTCGTAAGGAACCTGAACAGAGGACAACGATTCGGGAGTCCAAGGGTGACGTGGGGGAGATGGGAGACTACGGTCATTCGTTGGGAGAGCTAAAGAGGACCGCGAAGAATAGAGGGAGATGCGCTATTCCATTCTGATACGAAGGGAACAATAATAATTTAAATAGGTACGCTTTAAATCATGTAACATATACTGAATGCCACTTTTAAAGCTACATATTAAAAGCAACCTCAACACCACCATGTGTGGAACAGCGAAGAATGGCACTAATCATAGTGTGCTTCCGAAATGCTGAGTCTTCCTTATCTAAATAGTGACATCATACACTATATATGATTTTAGTTCATATGAGATGAAAAGTCAACAGATACAGATACCTAGTACTTAAATCATCACAAAAAATACTAATAAATTACTTGTGTTTCCTGAGATCCTGGATACAAACACTCCCACGAAATAGGATGATTCACATCCAGTTTGTAAAAATCATCCAAAGTAACTTTCCTGTCTCCAACTTCGAAAACTCCACCATATAAGTACAGATTAGAACCAACCAAAGCCATTCCTGCACTAGCCCTGGGTGACGGACATATGCACGCGGAGGCACTTCCTCTAGGTGGTTTAACACTAGCTTCTCCAACAGTCACTTTGACTAATTTTCTTGATAATGAATCGAGCGGAGTAGAATTGGCAGATTCATTTGGGTATTCCAGACGTTCAGCTAAAGATTTAACCACATCAAATTTACACAGTGAGGCTGTTAAGCAATGAATTCGAAAAGTAACAATGTTTGTGAGTATCAAGTTATTATACTGCCCTTACAGAGCTTGGTATTAATGAAACTATGAATTGAATACATATTCAATTAAGTACTCAAAATCGCATTTTTAAGTTGCAAATTACGTGTAACCTGTTCTAAACAGAGGAGCGCCGAAGAGGCGAATTAAAGGATTCTTGAGAAAGAACATGAATCATGAATGGAAGACAAGGGGAGCACAATACAGAGAATATTTGCAAACGAAGACTTCAAATTATGGTACTATTATTTTTATGTGACAGGAATCCAGAGATGGAATGCTCGCTAGCTACGCACGATGTTGGAGTTCTATTCGCGGCCGACGCACTTTCACACCCCTAATAGTTTACTGACCGACAGTACGCCCAGGAAAGACAAAACATTTGGTATAAGGCAAGTAATACTGCTCCATAAAAGGGAGTAACAACACTACTACTGCTACTTCAAAAGTTGAAGCCCTATGTTTCACGTGGAAAGGAAAGTTACGATTACCGTATTCTACTTTATCTGTACATCAAACCGCCCATAATAAATAGTGCAAGCTGGATTTTTAGACCAATTATAAAAATTTCCCATTTATCAAATTAATTGCATAAGTTCTAACCTGAATGCGCAGCTTTTTCTACATCAAAATTGAATATACGCCACTTGGCTTTCTCGAAATCCAACAGAAACAAATCATTATGGAAATAGCTGTTCATCTTCTCTCCATCTTCACTTTCAACATCATGTACACCACCGAATAAAAAAGCACGATTGCCACCAACATGAACACCACTCATGGAGATACGAGGTGGCTTGGGGCGCGTGCCAGAAGATCTAATGACGGAGCAGGCAACCGGAGAATTTCCTATAGAGGGCAGGTTGCACAAACAAAATATGTCAGATGATATAACACTTGTGTTTTCAACGTAGAGTAAGAGCCACACTTACTTTCAAACGTAAGTCTGACTACATCGGAGTAAACTATGCCTTTCTCTTGATCCCGAGTAACGGCAGACTTACTGTAACCTCCAACGATGAACACGTACTTTTGATTAGCTCCGGCAAAGAACAAAGAAGCTGAGCGAGGACTTGGTGCACTTCCACTTAGTGCGAGACGCGTCCATTGTAAGACGGTCAGATCAAACTGCCACAAATCATCAAAATAAGTTGTTTTACTGAACTCATTAGTACATAAGAAACTAACCTTCCAGTATCACTGAAACCACCAAATAGTAAGATTTTATTTCCCCAAGTAATCATACGATGTCCGCTTCTTGCACATGGTCCAAATGAGCTGAGAATTATTATTATTTAGGATTCATAACAAACTTTATTAGCTCCCATTTTTGAGATCGTAAGCGAAGACACCACAAATCACTGTAGTGATAAAATCTGGTTTGAGATGGTGATACGAACTCTCCTCCAAATATCCAAATGCTCGAAGGGGTGGATTCAGTTTTTACGTACACCGCCTTTAATACTATACTAAAATAAAACTATCTAACCTGATGGCCTGATCGTGGTGTTGGGCAGTTAGGGGCTTCCAGTTTAAGCCACTGGTTGACTTTACATTGATAAATTAGAAGATCGGAAAACATTTTAACCTAGATAATATCAAACGAAATTCAGGAACAACCCTTCGTCCATCAAAGAATTCACCACCAAACATAATCAGCTCTTCACTATCTGGGCATGAAACTAAAGAAAAATGAGACCTTTACGTTAACTAAGAAAAGGAAAGCTAGAACCTTGGAGCAGGAGCAGATATTGCGACCAGCGTTGTTGTCGTGATTTTTTTCTGATGATCTCTGAAACTTTGGATTAAATCCTCGAGTGAAGACTCTCCGGACTGCCTCTCGACCTTCCTAAGCTTCAGTTCCAATTTTCTTTGTGATTTCTTGGTATGTTCAGCTTTATTCCCCTTAGGTTTATCTTTTTTTCCCATATTTGCGGATAAAGATGGTTCGAAGCGGCTTTGTCAATATCCAGAGGATCTTCAGAGATTGTTTCGTTAAGAAACCAGGAGAATCTATAACGGAACACGAGAAACGTCAATGGGTGAAAATACAGTCTTGACAGATGTGACAGTAGCCTCAGTCCATGTGTACTCAGGTTATTTAGCAATTATTCAAACCGGACGTCAAAGGCATGAACGCGTTTGTAAGGAATACCCTGATGGGACACGCTCTGTCTAAGCTCACATTTTCTTAGGGCGCACTGCAGAAGTCTCTGATCGTAAAACTCCGGGAGCTTTGCATACAGTCTACCCTTAAGTATTTGCAGTGTGCCCGAAGTCAATACTAGCTGGGGTGTATATCGCATTTTGCCTAGGTTACTAGTTCCAGCAGCTCCCTGAGATTTATTAGTAATTTTTAGTCACCGAGTGTCTATGGTACTAATTTCTTTGATCTACCACAGCTATGAACATGTGATAAGCTTATCGCTTCATGGGGAGGATTCATGTGTTCTTTAGGTCTCAAAATGTCTGGGTTCCTGTCCAAATTCCCCAGTTTTCATTATTAACTCCTTCTGGCACAACACACTTTATTAATTTCCAATACTTTCATAACACCAATTAACAACACCTCAGGCAGTCAACGTACCGCATTAGTTCATTGCAGCCGCTTATCCTTTTATATTCATATTCAGATTATGAGGATAGAAGGCTGTTGTTGCCTGTATTAATCCTTGCAATATATATCCCCGGAGAGATCTAGTTTTTCTTTGAAAGCATTCACCGATGGTGCTCCGTCGTGTCACGTGCGTGCACGATTACTAGCTAGCTAAGCATTCACCTCTACCCGCGATTTTGTCCCGAAATATAATACGTACTTTGGACGACAAAATCTGGTCTTTTGCTTTACCATTTGGTACTCGAAGAACGAACACTATAGAAGTTGTTGGTATAAGATCTTGCGTTAGTATAATCCGTACAACTCGCGAACGTTCGATACCTGCAACCTCTAAATAGGTAAGGAATTCCAGTCGTTGACCACTTTGTGAGAGAATATAAATTCTGCACGTATTTTAATCGTCCTCGGTTTGATCACCTTTTAAGCTGTGACCTCATAAATGTATTCTAGAAGGGAAGAAAAGGTTAGAAAGGTCAATTCTTAAATCACCCTTAAGTATACGGTTTGCTAAAATTAAGTCGCCTCTCCGGTCGGGGCGATAAAGGGAAGAGATTTAAATGCGCCATTCCTTTGTCATGAGGAAGGTGTCAGATACCACCGGCTATTTTGGTTCCTACCTTTTTGTACTCTTTCTAAAATGTGTCCCACCTTCTTGATGCATGAAATAGCCGCTTGTATGCAGTATTCTAGATGAGGCCTGACATATGTTGAACTGAGACTCATCTAATCGTTTGACAGCTCTTCGGCGTGACCATAGCATTCGAAAAGCCTTAGCTGAGGCTGCAGTGCAATTCAGAGTTGTTTTCAAATCACTGCTGACTATGATTATTAGGTCCTTCTACCCGTTAACAACGGGTAGTTCTGTGTCCACTAGGGAGTAGGACGTATAAGACTTCAGACCTAAGCGCATTACCGCGCTTTTCCGAGAATAAGTTTCCAAACTCCACAGGTTCGACCACATGTCGTCCGCAAACAGTAATGAATATGAAGTAAGAATCGCCAGCAGTTAATTGACATATAAGTGGAATAGCAAAGGGCCTGTAGCGGTAAATAATTCCCCAAAATTATTAACCACAGCAATCATCACTCAATATTGGATGCTGACCATCACTGTTTAAGTCGACTTGTTTAGCTGAAGGCTTACGGTCAAGCATCCCCGCCATTTGGTGCTCCGTCGTGTCACGTGCGTGCACGATTACTAGCTAGCTAAGCATTCACCTCTACCCGCGATTTTGTCCCGAAATATAATACGTACTTTGGACGACAAAATCTGGTCTTTTGCTTTACCATTTGGTACTCGAAGAACGAACACTATAGAAGTTGTTGGTATAAGATCTTGCGTTAGTATAATCCGTACAACTCGCGAACGTCGATACCCGCAGTCTCTAGAGGCCTAATAAAGTTTCCTGAAGCCCTCCATGGGAAACTGCTTCCCATCCTGTCAGTACACTGTCATCTCCTACCTGTTGCCTTCTATCCATGAGGTAAACCCTAAACCAATCACATAGACATTGGTCTAGTGCAAAACCTTGAAGTTTACTAAGACGACTTAAATGGGATACCTTATCGAATGCATTACTAGGAATGATAAAAACCACGTCCAACAGAGGGTTTTTATCTCTGACCTCAACCCAGTCTTTCCTAGACAAGGCAGGCAAGATCGTCCTACTGTTTCACGCCAGCAAGCCATGTTTTTCCACATGAGCTAATAGCTGATCCCTTATAATTGTTTCCAGTAACTTTGCTATAATGCATGTCAGACTTGACGCCTGGTAGTTGGATACCAATTGCATGTCCCCTTCTCTGAAGATGACATCCTTCCAGTCCCTGGATAGCTTAGCCTGGGTCAGAGACATTCGGAAAATCTCCTTAAGTGGAATATATATCACAGCCGCCAAGGAAATTAACAGTTTAGGGTGAAGTCCATCAGGTCCAGGTGATTTACCTGGCTTCAGTTTAGATAGTAGTGTGAGGACCGTCGTGTTCTATTCCACAATTGAGGGCATCTTAGTGGAGATGTCAGTGACCTCGCCATATCCCTGGGTGGTACGATCAGACGAGAAGACGTCACAGAAGTAATCAGGGAGGTTTTAAGCCCTTCGTAAGTCAGATAAATTCATTTCCCCACTAATGATTATGAGTGACTGTATACCATTGCTAATTTTAGTCCTACGACTACAGCTTTTCTGGTTAATGAACACAATCCAGTACTAGCTGTCTCTCGTACACTATACGACACTTTTCAATCACACACCTACAGAGATTTCGGGCTTCTCGGTAGACCTTATGGAAATTTTCCCTCCTTGTTATATTAAATTATTCCTATAAGCTTTTCCAAAATCTAAATAGCCACTTTATCTTACTAGTATCAATAATATTATTTTCTAATTTTTGGACATGAGGGACGCCAATTTACAGGAATCATCAATGTGACAAATTACATATACGATTAGTAAGCATATTTAATAATAATATAATAAAATACATATGTATTCCTATGTATGTAGGAACACACCAGTTATACAGGTATGGATGAGTGTTATTTAAATCACGTAAATTTGGTTTATGGTGAATTTACATGGTTGCCGTTCACTTTAGTTTCAGTTTGTGGGAACAGCTTGTTGACTGGTCACTCAATGGAGCACATCAAGAAATATAGAAATATTATCTTCGCATTGACAAAAAAATGGATTACAAAAGTTGGGGGAAAATATAGCCTGAAGTCATTCCCCCACATAACTATGCTGTGTACGGTATCGATTCTTATTCTTCATATAAATAAAGCAAAAATTATTATTATTTATATATATCCAAGCTGGGTATTAATTTAAAATAAGTGATGTATTTGTATAATTTTTTCGGAATCGTCATCGTAACATCACAAGCGAATTGTACTCAACGTTGACTAATAATATTTTTAAAAATTTTTTTAAATATATTTTTTTCCTTCACGTTCCCCAGTGGAACATAGGGCTTCAAGCTAGTGGCTTGAAGTTTCCGTAGCAGTGTTTATTTTACAGTATGGGGTTGCTAGCCTCATGCCCAGCCTTTCCACTTTACCAGCATTAATTCTGGCTTTGTGAGGTAAAGGAGTGCGTCGGCCGGTGATCGAACCCCGGACCATGTGCATGGTCGGCGAGCGTCCTAACCGCTATGCCACCGACGCACCTGACTAATAATAACGGTAGTTTATATTTTCTTATAAACGGGTGTTTACAAGACATGCAAGCCATTTTTACAGGTACGATTAGTCATTTTATAAATTACAATCGTGAAGTATTATAAATTGATATTTTTCATTGGTATAAAGGTATATTCCACGACTGTAATCCAGGATGCGTAGCAGAGGAAAGTAATGGGTAATTCACGAGGCAGTTTTAGGATATGGGACGACTAGTGTTTGCAGATCATTTGTCATTGCAAGTGGTCAAATATCTACATTCTTTATTCTCATTCAAAAAGTCATATAGAAGCTAAAATGGCGAGAGAGAAAAGAAGACAAACGATAGTCGCACAGAAGAAAGCAAGTGGAGTCCTCAAGGAGTGATTAATAAATTTATGTATATATATGTTCTGTGTAGTAACTATGTTTATTTTGGTACACTAACTAACTAGATATGTTGCGCTAACCTCTACATTATGTGTGAACTAATATTAATGTCCTGTGGAGAAGTGTTTATTATGTACTTCCAATAATATCAACATTTATAACTGTAGTTTGCTGTAACTTATACGTTTAGTGAAGTTAAAATATCTATGTGGGGTGAAAAAGAGGGTGTAGGATTCAGATGCGAGTGTGCATTGTCATCTTTAGGCAGTCTGGTGACGGGAGAGATGAACACTGGGAGTGTGTCTGCATCTCGCACATCAGCTGGTAGTCTATTCAAAATGACTGTAAACTTATTTAAGAAGTTGTACCGCATTTAAGTCTGACAATGCTCTATAGCAACTAGGTTGTCGTGATTTCTAAGATTGTAACTGACGACAGAGGTAGATTTAGTTATTGGCCTGGAGGAGTGCAAGAGAAGATTAGTTAGCTTGTAGTGGAAAATAACGTTTAGCTTGAGACGTCTTTTCCAGAGGGGTTCTATCTTCAGACTGTTGCAACCCTCAGAGTATTCGAGACTACATTCTAAACCAAGAGTTCTTGAGGTATACTGCCGTTGCACCCCCTTTAATTTAAGCTTGTCATTCTGTTGCAGTCCGCTAAGCATAAACAGGCAGTATCCCAAGATAGGTCGGACACATACTTTATGTAATGAAAGCAAAGTTTCGCGACAAAAGAAATTGAGATTTATGCACCCTAGGAGCCTTCGTGTTTTAGGTCTGGCATAATCAGTTTTTTCAGAGAACGTTGAGTTACTTGAGTATCTGATACCGAGGTCTATGACTGAGTTCAGCTTGGCTAGGTTTTGTCCATTAACTTCTAGAGTTATGTCAAGATTACTGTTGCCGATACAAATCCAGACGCTTCTGTCGACGTCAACACAACATGTTCCGAGACCATTTAGTTCCAGACGTATTTTACTTACCATTGGGTTTAATTCATGACTGTGGCAGGAGTAAACAACTCTGAGGTCGTCAGCATCTAGGAATGGTCTACCTGAGGCGAAGCAGTTGCAAATGCTGTTAATGTAGACTGTAAATAAAAGTGGTCCTAGGACACTACCTTGCACAACCCCACTTGTGATCTGCTCAGGATGAGACAATACAGATTCAACTTTGGTTATTTGTACCCTGTTACTTAGAGATGACTTTAACCAGTTCAGTTATGGTTTGCAAATTCCACATGAGTACAGCTTCTCAAAGAGAATACTGTGAGATGCCATGTCAAATGCCCTAGATTCCAAAAAGAAGAGAACAACGACTAGCTCACGTGCTTCGCGACTACTGGTGATGCATTTTAAAATGTCGAAGTGGCAAGTAACGCAGGACCTATTTTTGAGGAATCCGTGTTGAGACATTGTAACAAGATCTTTCCTAAGTAGATAGTCTGACAACTGATCTTTGACAACTTTCTCCATAACTCGCGAGACAACTGGGGTTATATTTATAGGTCTGTAATTGTGAACGTTCGCCTTAACCTCGATTTGTAGTGTGGAATTACAAAGCTAGTTTTGAGATTTGAACATTCAATAATCTATGAGCCTTTAATCCCAATGAAGATGGACCATATTTCCTAACAAGAAAGCGGATATTCACAAAACTGCCACTCTCTGATTTCAAAGCAATCTTAGTAGTACCAATAAGAGGTAGTTTATGACCAGTAGTGCCTGTAATTCCCGACCGATAGCGGCTACCCTAAGTGGTGGTCGGGCTTGCATATTGCAATGACCCGACGAGCTACACTGGCTGGAACTTATGTTCCTGTAGATCCTACTATGGCAGAAAGGTTGTTTGGATAGCGGTTAGACAAAAAGCAGCTACCCAATCCAATACTATGATTCAAACAAACTCACAAAATATCATGCTTGTCGGGCGGGGCCCGGATTAACAACGACCGCGCTTCCTGCTGCTGTGTCACAGGGAAGAAGTGATAAATATGCTACTGAGACACACCAAACAAGAAAGAACAACCAAAAGCAGGCCGCGTGTGACCGGCCTCAAACAACTCTCCCCTTGACTCTGCGGTCACGCAACACTAAACTTTTCTCTCTCCCCTTCTCAGGCGTGAGGCTAGCAACCCCACCCTGTAAACGAAGCTGCTACAGAAACTCCAGCACGATGAATCTCCTTGCGCCAAAAGAAAAAGTCTGTATGGGGACATGGAATGTCCGCACCATGTACGAGATTGGCAAAGCTGCCCAGATCGCAAACGAAATGAAAAGATACGGAATTCAAGTACTGGGGATATGTGAGAGTAGATGGAACGGGAATGAACTCACCAAATAGTCACCGGATGAGTCAGTGATCTACTCCGGTCACCCATAGAATAACCACATGCACACTGAGGGTGTGGCTATCATGATGTTACCAACGGCAACGAAGGCCCTGATGCAATGGGAGGCCACCTCGCCCAGGATAATAACCGCCAGATTCAACTCCAAAGGAAGGAAAGTGTCAGTTATTCAGTCATATGCACCCACAAACAGCGCAAACCTCGAAAAGAAAAAGAAGAATTCTACGGACAACTACAGACAACAATGGACAATACTCCAGCTGGTGACATTAAAATACTAATGGGAGACATGGACGCCAAACTGGGATCAGACAACACAGGAAGGGAACTCATCATGGGTAGAGAAGCTCTCGGAGAAATGAAGGAAAACGGAGAACTTGTGGAGTCCTCAAAAATAGACTTATCCAAATTTTACTATTATGTAAAAAATGAACATATTGTACACTACTTTGTTTTAACCAAAAACTCTGTACTTTGAACTTCCCTCGAGTTTTGAAAATATATATATAATTCTCCCTTCGACTCTCCGTCTTCTCCACCATCTTAACTGCCGTCGATCAATTATAACAACCTGCTTTCTATCTCAAATTTTTGCAGGATCACCGTAGTCTCTTCCTACGCACTTTGGTCGACCTCCGCAATGTCAACACTGGAGAATTAGAACTGGAGCAGTCTTCCCGCAGCACTTCTGGAATCCATTACGTTTATTGTGGAATTTGGATCTTTGTAAATCCAAGTAACAAAACTCTAATATATTCTTCCCGTAAACTCAATTGATTTGGTATTTTGTTTTCTATTTGAATTTGGGTTACTAAGCTAACAGAGTAAAAGGTCCACCACAACAAACTCTTCGCCGACTTCTGCGCCTTCAGTGAACTAGTGATTGGTGGCAACGTATACAAACACAAGGATATCCATAAGGCTACATGGGTGTCACCAGATGGGCGAACCAAAAGCCAAATTGAATTCATCTCAATCTCAAGGAAGTGGAGGCGCAGCCTACTGGACACAAAAGTAAGAAGAGGAGCAGACGTTGGCTCAGACCACTATCTCGTACAAGGGACAGTCCAAATCAAACTAAAAGCGTTCGGAAAAGCAGGAGCTGCAGATAGACCACAAGCCAAGTTGAACACTCAAAAACTGAGGGACCAGGATACAAAGGATATCTTCACTCCAAGCATAAAAGAAAAGCCGAGACACAAATCAACACTGGTGAAGAGGTCAGCGTCGAAAAGCACTGGGACAACCTGAAAGCGGTGTGGAGTCAAACCTGCATGGAAATTCTGGGCAGAAAGAAGAGACAGGACAAACTGTGACTCACTATGGACACTTGGAATCTAATAGAATAGAGAAGAATGGTGAAACAAAAGATTCTCCAGTGCACCGACGAGCAACAAAAATAGGAGTTGAATGCAAGCTACAAGACACTGAACAAAAGAGTAAAGAAGAGTGCCAGGGAAGACAAAAGAAAATATTATGAAGCCATGGCAAGCGAAGCAGAACAAGCTGCAGGCAAAGGAGACCTCGCAACACTCTACTAAACAACTAGATACCTATCGGGCAAAAGTTCGACACAAATTAAGCCAGTGAAGGATGACAATGGAAAGTCAATCACCGAAGAAGTGGAGCAAAGAAAACACTGGGCTGAACACTTCAAAAGACTTCTAAATCGACCACCTTCTCCAACGCACCCAACAATACCAACAACGGAAGCTGAACTACCAGTGAACATCAATCCCCTGACGAAATCAGAAGTCCTGAAGGCAACCGAGATGCTAAAAGCTGAAAAAGCAGCAGGACCAGATGGAATCCCAGCAGAAGCATTGAAAATGAACCCAGAGAGAATAGCGGACTTGATGACGCCATTACTGGAGAAGGTGTGGAAAGAGGGAAAGGTACCCGAGGATTGGAAGAAAGGATACTTATTCAAACTGCCAAAGAAAGGAGATTTAAGTCAATGCAAGAACTGGCGCGGAATTATGCTCCTGTAGCGGTAAATAATTCCCCAAAAGTATTAACCACAGCAATCATCACTCAATATTGGATGCTGACCATCACTGTTTAAGTCGACTTGTTTAGCTGAAGGCTTACGGTCAAGCATCCCCGCCATTTGGTGCTCCGTCGTGTCACGTGCGTGCACGATTACTAGCTAGCTAAGCATTCACCTCTACCCGCGATTTTGTCCCGAAATATAATACGTACTTTGGACGACAAAATCTGGTCTTTTGCTTTACCATTTGGTACTCGAAGAACGAACACTATAGAAGTTGTTGGTATAAGATCTTGCGTTAGTATAATCCGTACAACTCGCGATCATCGATACCTACAGGCAACCATCTAAACTGGTGAGCCCAACCACGAACTACATCTTCAATTCACACGCAGATAAACCCGGTGAGTTCGTTCCTTTTTGTGTTTATTCTTGTACTATATTGTTAGCGGCATACTTTTCGTCATGAGTGATCCTAGCCCCAAGGTTATTCAGATTCGCTCAGCCGCCAAAACAATCCAGCTAGTACCATATTGGGCCGATAATGCTGAAACTTGGTTTCAGATTGCTGAGTCCGATTTTTGTGAACATGGCATAACTGATCAACGTTCACAGTTCCTTGCAGTTATTCACGCCCTACCGCGGGAATTCAGCAGGTGCGGAACTCTGCAGATGTCGGTAAGTAACTCGTACGAGTTACTAAAAGCATCCATTCTCAAGAGAAACGTTCTCACAGATCGACAACGTCTTGATGAGTTATTTCGTAACATCGAGTTAGGAGATCAGTCAGCCTTGAGCATGCTGGCAAGAATGAAAGAGATCATTGGCCAAAGTCAGTTCGATGAAGGACTGTTTAGAGAACTATTTTTATCCAAACTGCCACAGTCAGTTCTGACTGTACTTGTGACACTTCAGGGTGTTCTCATAGATGATTTAGCTGTCTCTGCAGATAGAATTCTAGAGATAACCAAACGGCCAGTTACCGAAATATACTCTGTTACCGAACAGACTTCGAAGAAGGATGCTGCAATGATAGAGTTAATCAACTCCGTCCAGCAGATGTTTAGGTCAAACAAGCCTAGTAATTCCTCAAACCGTCGTTCTAGATCCCCTCAACGGCAAAACGCACGTGGACGATCTAAGTCCAACACACGTTCTCTCAGAAATCCTGACTGGTGTTGGTACCACAACACCTATGGCAAGGAAGCGAAATGTTGTCGAAAAACTTGTGATTTCGGCAAAGCCTCCAAGTCTGTGGGAAACTATCCCGCCGGCACGCGTTAGCGGCAACCGTCGCCGGTGGCAATAGCCGCTTACTTTACATCCATGATGTAATGAGCCAGACTAGATATCTAGTCGACACAGGTGCCGAAGTCAGCGTCCTTCCTGCTACAGCAGCAGATCGACAGAAGGATCCTAACTTCAACCTACAGGCTGCAAATGGAAAACCAATTGCAACCTATGGTCGGAAATACGTCTATCTGAACGTAGGTTTACGCAAACCTATTCAGTGGATTTTCCTAATCGCCGACGTCACAATGCCCATCATTGGCACGGACCTACTTAATCATCATGATTTGCTCGTAGACGTCCGCCGTAAACGATTAATTGACAACACTACTAGTTTGTCTATCAAAGGCATAACTTATGTAGGCCCCAGCTTGTCACTCGTTAAGATGAAAGCAGTCCTCGATCCAACTTTTCAACCGATTGTTGACAAATATCCGGAACTGAATTGCCCATCTAACGACCTCCCGTGTATAACCAGCAATGTTATGCACCACATCATAACCTCAGGACAGCCCGTGACATCTAAAGCACGACGACTGGCCCCTGATAAACTGAGAATTGCCAGAAACGAATTCGACCATATGCTCACCCTTGGCATCATTCGGCCATCGAATAGTCCATGGGCATCCCCGTTGCATATGGTACCGAAAAAGGATAGCAACGATTGGCGACCCACTGGTGATTACCGGCGAGTGAACGCCAAAACAACCCCTGATTGCTACCCTTTGCCTCACATACACGACTTGACGGCAACGTTATCTGGAGCATCTATATTCTCCAAAATCGACTTGGTTAAAGCATATAACCAAATCCCGATGGCAACGGAAGATATTCCGAAAACGGCTATCATCACGCCTTTCGGACTTTTCGAATTCCTACGTATGCCATTCGGCCTCCGGAATGCGGCCCAAACATTCCAACGCTTCATCAACGAAGTATTTCGCGGTCTCGACTTTGTATACGCATACTTAGACGACTGCCTCATTGCCAGTCCAGATAAGGAAACTCACCTTAGACACTTGGACTTGGCATTTGAAAGGTTACGCCAACATGGTGTTACCATCAATATACAGAAGTGTCAGATAGGCGTTGACTCACTCGATTTTCTGAGTCACACTATTGACTGTCAGGGCATTCGCCCACTGGCTACTTCGGTCGATCACTCTAAAAAAACGCGTTCTGGACGTCACGTTAGATTCCCAGAATACCTTCACACCTATTTCACATAACTGAGTGACACATCAATTTTTTTTATGTTGCATCATTTGACACAAGTAAATGATATTTTTCCTATAACCGTACATAAAATTATATAAGATATATATTTTTTCCCGATATTTTGAACTTTACATTATTTTACTGTATAGTAGACGCATGTCAATTTTTTTTTTGTAAAAAAACGCTTATTTGGTACATTTTTCTGGACAAGGTTCTCAGCATTCTTGTTTTCTTTTCCAGGTGCAACGGGCACTGGACAGGAAACAAACGAAGCACGGGATCCAACGAACAACACTGAGGAAGCTATGTACAGACACCCTATTAGCATAGGCAGACAGACCAGCAGGCTCTCCATCAAGCCGCTCGGAAGATTTTTTTCACCCATCAGGGAACCATCGAGATTTTTTTACTTCCGGCTGGTCATGTCTTAGGGTCCTCACAAACCCACTAGGGGGGGAGTGAGCTGTAGCGGTAAATAATTCCCCAAAATTATTAACCACAGCAATCATCACTCAATATTGGATGCTGACCATCACTGTTTAAGTCGACTTGTTTAGCTGAAGGCTTACGGTCAAGCATCCCCGCCATTTGGTGCTCCGTCGTGTCACGTGCGTGCACGATTACTAGCTAGCTAAGCATTCACCTCTACCCGCGATTTTGTCCCGAAATATAATACGTACTTTGGACGACAAAATCTGGTCTTTTGCTTTACCATTTGGTACTCGAAGAACGAACACTATAGAAGTTGTTGGTATAAGATCTTGCGTTAGTATAATCCGTACAACTCGCGAACGTCGATATTTACAGCCCCCTAAACTCCTGTCCATCCCAAGCAAAATACTAAGCCGCATCATCCTGGAGAGAGTCAAACAGGCCAACCTCGACGAAAACTTCGACCGAAACAGGCTGGATTCAGGAGGAACAAGTCATGTATTGATCAAATCGCCACACTACGGATCATCATAGAACAAAGCTTGGAATGGCAGTCACCTCTCTATCTCAACTTCATCGACTTTGGAAAGGCCTTCGACAGCGTCGACCGAGAAGTGATTTGGTAACTACTTCGCTACTATGGCGTGCTACCAACAATTATCCACTCAATACAACAGCTGTACGACAATGCTGCATGCCAAGTAATCCAAAACGGGAAAATTACGGAATCCTTCGAAGTGAGAACAGGTGTAAGACAAGCTGGCTGGCTGCCTACTATCGCCAATGATTTTCCTGATTGCAGTAGACTGGACAATGCGACATACAGCGGGCAATGAGGAAACAGGCATAAAATGGACTCACACAAAAAACTTGGGGGATCTGGACTTCACCGATGATATATGTCTGATTTCCCACAAACTGGAAGATATGCAAGCGAAAAGCAACAAGTTGGCAGAAGAAGCATCAAAGACAGGAATTAGTTCAGGTGAACATAGAGAAAACAGAGATGATGAAGATTCCTGGGCAACACCAACAACAGATAACAATCAGCATAAATGGGAGGAACCTGAAAGAATCAACCTCCTTTACCTATAGACTTAAGAAGCATCGTTTCAACTACAGGCGGAACTGACGAGGATATCAATGCAAGAACCGGAAAAGCAAGACAAGCTTTCACTACTCTCAAGTCTGTGTGGAGGTCAACAGCACTCAGTATGAAAAATAACATCCTGATTTTCAACTCCAACGTGAAGTCAGTGCTACTATGCGGATCAGAAACTTACACTGCGCGTCATAAAGAGCATCTCAAACAAACTACAGACCTTCATCAACAGTTGTCTTCGCTCAATACTCAAGATCAGATGGCCAGAAAAGATCAGCAACAGGGATCTGTGGGAGCGAACCAACCAGGAACCGATTGTGCAACAAATAGACAGGAAGAAATGGAGATGGATTGGCCATACTCTAAGGAAACCATCAAGTGACATCACTAGGCAAGCCATTGCTCGAGTGGAACCCGAAAGGGAAGCGGCGAGTTGGTCGTCCAAGGGTGACTTGGAGGAGGTCATGTGAAGAGGAGACAAAAACGTGTGGACAGACTTGGAGCCAGGTGAAGACTCTAGCAGAGAACCGAACGAAATGGAGACACACGGCTGAAGCCCTATGTTCCTCTGGGAATTAAAGGAAACAATAATAATAATGCCTGTAATTGAACTAGTAATGGGGTTAACTTGGACATGCTTATATAGAGGTAGTAAATCTTCCTTAGAAATTATAGACTCGGCACTCACAGTATCAATTATAAAAGAGTGAAACTGGCCTGAACTTGTAGTGAAGGTTTTCGTTAGGTGAAATTGAGTATTGTGAAAAGTTGGAGGAGACATTGATCGCATTTTACCAGACAAATTAGAAGAATCTTGAGTAGCAGACTTTATGTTCCCGATTTTACCACATTTATGGCACTTAGCACCCCGAAAACGGTGAGTGCTTCATAGATAATTCTTTCCACATTGAAAACACGGTTTGATAGTTTTGCTCTCTATCTGCAATATATCACATGTGGATGACAGTTTGGATTTGCTTTTACGAACACTTTTATTATCAGTTTTGGACAACATCAAATCACACACTGAACTAGTGGGAGCTGGGTATTCACTGTTGACATCTTAGGGGTAAATATGTAGTATCTAAATCCTTCGCACTTGGAAAGGTTCAGGAAGGAATCTGAATCAACTCTTTCATTAGCTTTGGGATATTGATCCCAGCAGTTAGACGAACACGTAGTTGAGTATGCAGCTGATCCCCTAATTTGCACTCTGAAGCTGGAGAATAAAGTCTCGAATCTTTTAGTTGGGGGCACGAACAAGTTTGTTGAACATGGAAGTGATCTGAGAACTCGTCATAAACATGCAAGGAAACATTCGACATATGGTGGATGTGGTGATTGATAATTTCTATTACTGTGTTGTTCAAATACGTACTGTTTGTTAACATTTATTGTATAAATTACAAGTAATTCTGCCAAATACAAATCCTAGCTAATCCGTGTTGTTTCGTTCCCTGCAACTCGGTCATTGATAAATGCAATTACACATAAAAATAACATATTTCAACCAAGAAACAAGTTGTCCTTCTGCTAGCAATCGATGTATAATACTACCAAAGAACTTTGTTATAGCTGCTTATCATTTGAATTGATGTAGCAATATGGAAACAGTAGCAGTTATAAAAATGAGTGTCATTCGATCTAATATAGATAATTACTGTAGATCTTTGTAAGTGAGCGATATGATCACAGCACTTTAAAAGACTTGGGTGCAAGACTAATACTATAGTAGAATAACTTCATCACACCCAATGTCACCCATCTAGTGATGACGTTTGCAATGAAACTTACTTCTCATAGTCATGTCCTTAATGTGTTTATATCAAATAAAACTATTACTCAGGTCGAGACATGCACCAATTCTCGACGTTTTTGACTTTTGGTTTGAGCCACATAGTGAGTAGGGTAGAGACTGCGTGACTGGGCTCCTGGAGATGTCCGTAACCCATGACTTGAGAGTGTTGGTAGTATGACTCGAAATCATTCTCAACAGCTCAGATGCATTCACTCCTAATGATGCCCCAGATTCATCAAATCGTCAATATTCTTTCTCCTCAATGCCTGCCCCCTTTATTTTAGCTTTCTTTCTGTTCTCTACTTTGTTGAAGCGTTAGAAACCCATGATTAATTTCATAGATGAGAATTTGCGGTTATGTAAGAAACAGTAATATGGTAGATGGGATCTTATGTGGTTGAGTTCAAAGGGGGAAATTATAGATAGTTAATTTTGTCAGTGATTCACATACCTGCAATTTAGGATATGACACAAAATGAATTTATAATCTTCTCACGAGTTCATCACGGACTGATATAAGCAACAAAACCACAGATTTCAAAGAGTCAGTTGTAATCATTGGAATGAGGTAATGTGAATGTTCAAAGATCGTCAAATAATTATACTGGTATGATGATACCTAGACTTTTTGAAAGAGACTATGAAGAAGAGCTGAGAAAGAATACTGTTATTGTTTAAATTAATTGATCACTGGGATTTAGAATGTGTTTTTGTGTAGTCCTAAGTGCTGACTGATTTCCATCAGTCAAGTTTGCAATGTTCTTAAGGTGTAGAAGGACGTAATACAGCATTAAAATGTCAGGTGATGAAAAAGTCTATAATCGCTAATGTAGAAATAGAGGCTGAACATACTTTGTCGCAATTACAAGTTAGGCTTACTCGTACTAATTCGCATGCACTTAGATATGAATGAGTGTTTTAGACAGAATGCTCGGTATTCAGTATATTACCGCAAATTCTTCTTGTATTTTCATCCTATAGTCACTGTTCACTGAATGGATTGACGGCGCACTGTGTATTGACCTACTTACTCCTAACTCTCTCAAGCTGAATCAGTACTTCTTCCCACCGCACCCCTACTTACACAGGGACAGATAAATTCTTATTCACGTTGATGCAGTAATTATTAATACATTGTGAATTGATCTGTTCAGCATACAGCTTGATCAGGTATGTCGACATCGAACTGCCCTCGTAGCTAACGCTTCTACTTACTCATTGAATCCTGCCTTATATTTGATAAATTCCTCCTAGTTATATGCTGCCTTAACGTCTCTTTTGCTCCACCAATGCAGTCACGCATCTTATTCTATGGTAGAGACATTGAACTAAATTACTCTTGTACTGCACATAAGTACGAACCGGTGTGGCTGTGTACTGCTAAGCAGTCACAAACTAGGATGAAATGGCTGTTCAGCACTCACTCCCTGCTTTTAATGATTCTCTAAGCGACATCCAACCGTAATCAAACTCGGAATAAACGAACTACCTACACCTACATAGGGACTATAATATTCAGGCGAATTTATCAGTTTGTGTTACAAAACTCCATTTCCTCGTCTTCAATAAAACTGCAATTAGAAACACGAGCTGAATCCTTTTATTATATTGATTGCTTTTACATTGAATGAGGAAACCAGAAAACCACAGGGACAATGAAAGTTTGTATTGATCACAGATGAATACATACGTACAAATTAGAATTTGGATTTATAAGTAATTAAGGCAAACGAGATGGTTGTAGAGGGTTATTATATTCAAAATCACCAGTTATAGAGGAGCCAGAGTAATTTTCAAAAAATAAATTTAACAACCTTCAACTCGATACATACATGCATACTGGATGATCAGCCAGAGATACCCCGACTTCCATGAGAGCGACAACGGTGCAAAACGAAGATCATTCGGCAATGTTCGAAGGGACCCAGTAGTCGGTGTTGATACCGAGTCTCGTGAAACTCTAAGACCGTTTCAGAAATAAATAGAAAACAAGAGAGCACTTATATGCAATACTGCAATAAATCAAATTTGTGACAGCAGAGTATGGCTTTACAACTGGAAATAATATGGTGTCTCCAGACTGACTTGACATTGAGTGGAATGTTGCATAACCATTTTCTAACTTGACATGGCCGTAATTACTTGGCAATAGTATTTGATCAAACAGCTTCCCACTTCAAATGTGATTGATTAACACATAATATTTCAATGTTACAGTGTGGCGTAATAAGGGTATAGTGAAAAGAATGGGCAGGTCGATATTAGACCAACTCGTCCCAAGTGACGGCAAAGACTGCATTGTAGAATGCTTTTTTCTGATGTATCGGGTACCAAATAAATTGTCGAAAGCATGCAGGTAGCAAAGACTCCAAACAGCAGAGGCTATTGCGTTCCGGTGCTATGTGTGCAGAAGAAACAGGTCCATCCCCTTCTAATGCCCTTACTTTCTATGGAGCCTATGAACTCATGAACTCCATATTATTATTTTTCCTAATTGCCTGATATACAGTGTATTGCAGTGTTATGTTAATGCATATTATCACGCTTACAGATGCTATTGAAATGTCGCCTAGTGATATTAATAATTCGATGTTATTTAAACATTAATGTTTTTAACAACCCGAATTCCTTCATTCGAGAGGATATTCTTTGTTCAGCAATCAGTCTTTTGAAATTTGTTAAGGGCGTTTCTGATGAAAAGTGTTAACCATTGTACTCATTTTCTATAGTTTCATTTGTAAGGATTAGTTATGTTTTACGAGTTGATCACGGACTGATATCAGTTAGACAATAGTTGGGGTCGCGCTAAAATCACGAATTGGTAGAAGTTAGAATTCATGAGCCATTGAATCGAATCCCAGTGGCTGAATGGTATACGAGCTTGCCTTGTAACCGGAAGGTCCTGGGTTCGAATCCCAGTGGGTGCGTACTGCCGATGATTCCCAAACTAGGATGAAACAGCAGCTGTCCAGTACTCCCTGGTTTTCAATGGTTCTCTAACTGATATCAGTCCGTTGTACTCATGTAATTTTAAACACTGATTAATGAACATAGAATATTCTCTCAGATATATTCCCTACTGTGATTGTCAACGGTTTTCATCAGTCTCATAGAACAATCCCTCTAACTAAATAGTGCCTTCGTCAATCAAGTCAGTTATTTAGCACCACTACTCTTTAACACTCCTGAAGGTGTATCATTAAGCTCTGGTCCTTTACCTCGCTCAAGACTAGAAACCGCTTTCGCAACGTCGCCTACAATTGCAAAATCGATTCAGGCTGAGCTTAGATCAGAGGGGAGCGTAGACCGATTCCAGACATTTCACGAAAAGTTATCGAGAAACCACGCTTCTCAAATTGCTTTTTGAAACGTGTTTCTTTAATAAGTCCAAGTGCTTGACAGGTATGACCTGTTGTTGATGTCCATTTCTCCCGCTCTTGTTGGAATATGGGATGACAACCTTGTAGAAAGCTCGCCTCATCTCTGTGCTTTCGTAACCTGCTGCATCTACTACCTGACCAAGCATATATTCAGTCTTTACATTATTTTATATTCATCTTTACGCTTGTTAGTGCCTTCATTCACGTCAGTTGTTCTCTACTGTATGAAATTTCAGCTTGTCTGTACTGTTTCGAGTCACTAATCATTTGTTTTCAGAGAACCGGCTTCCAGTGAGATATCTAACATGGCTATTCTGACACTACATGTCACGGCTCAACCTCATTAATTCCAGCGTTTCCACACGGGTGCAAATTAGATGACATGCATGCTTGATTAGAAACTTCAAAAACCTTGTTAGTTTACGCTGTATTTCAAACATATCTATAGAAAAATTGAATATGGTTCACAGGTTAGGTGTGTGCGTTAGGAAAGCGTTCCTAAGAGACTGAAGACTTATGTCAACAGATTTCTTTGCTCGATAATGAATATCATGTGGCTTATCTGAAAGGATAGGTAGGGACTCTGGGAGAAAGTTAACTAGCCAGGAAGCTACCTAACAACAAATGTACAAAGGTAGGTGTAGAAAAATCGGACAAACTCTGAGGAAATCCTCAAGTAATATTGAATGCCGAGACCACGAGAGTAACCCGAAGGGGAAGTGACAAGTTGGTTGTACATTGTGGCACAGAGATCATGTGAAAAGGTAAATGAAAGCTATTTGAAAATAACTACAGATAAGAGCCCAGTAGGGACGTGCCGCTGAAGCCCCAATGTTACCTTCGCAACCAAAGGAACGAACAATAGTAATAATGCCTTATTCCTGATAGCTAAATTAGATAAATCAGAATTTTTGAATTTAAAAGATGCAGAAAATTGTAAACAGGTAAGGTGTAATCGGAGTGATATTATGATCATTAATACTGAGTGTAATCGATTACTGAAGTGCAGTGTAATCATAAAGCGAATGCGAAAGCAATGGATTTAATTTCCAAGATGTACTTGTAACTCGAATGGAAACCTGAAAATCTTAATACAGGGCCACAAATACTATTTTAAAAATATCCTAAGATCGAGCAATTCACCTAGGGGATAAAGAGCTTCAGTGTAAGTTACATGTCAAGGAACACAAAAGAATTTACCTCAGTCAAATATTCACTTGCAGAACATAGCGTATTTGCTGTTTTAGAGTAAATTTTAGTTGGACTATCGAAGAAATTTGAGTTGTCCGTAGATTTTTCTTTGTGAATCATCCGCGACGTATTACAGTCACTTTCAAGACAAATACTACTAGAATGATTAGCATGAGATGATGAATTAGTAGTATGATTTTGAGATACTCCATAACGATTTATCATGTTTCTTAAACGATATTCCTCAGATTGCTTTTGAATTTGGTGAAAATGATCAAACAATCCATCAAAGTTGATATGTATACCAACCGCATTTTGTGTAGAATACTGATGTTCTGGAGTATGACTAATATAAAAAAGACGAATAGCAGTATCATCAAAGGAAATAACAAATTTATTCATTACTATAAACTTGTCTGAAAATGTACCAATAGAAAAAATGGACGTCCTGAAAAGACTTACATAGACAAAAATTCAAGATAATTTCAAAGAAAAAACTAACTGAAATCCCAGTTTACCATGTCTGTAAACTTGGTCAAGCACGGCAGTGTGTAATTCCATAGTAATTTTTTTTTGGATATATCACACAATGAAAGTTTTATTTAGTGGATGACGTCTCGATTACAATCTACTGTTCATAATCACATGTATTTCTAACTACACTACTTCGAAACTCAATTTTTATGGTTCTCGTTCTTTTTCCCCATTTATCGTAAAGGTGTAGTGCACGTCGCCTATTGCACATATTCTCCGTTGATTCGATGAATAGAGCTCCCGTTGTCAGTTCTTTTCTTCATTGTTTGCTAGATATTGTCAACTTGTGTGTTTGGCTGATTTTGAAGCAAAGAAGAAAATGAATCATAAGTGAAGGAAAGAGAAACTTGGATACAAACCATTCCTAAATTTACAGAGCAGTGTTTCCCGAACATTCAGTTAAATATCGACGTAGTGAAGCTCACTGCGTGCAAAGGAAGACTTTTATATCTCATAACAAATACTGGCACAATAGGGGATGCATCAGACAGTTATCCAGATTATTCTCACTCGAAAAATCTTCAGAACGAAAGTCAGCATGACACTGAATTTTTCTCTACATGAACTTTAATAAAATGTCGTGATTACTCTCAACATGATTGATCAGCAGTTATTTCATAGTTGCCTGGAGACATTTTTTGATTGTATGTGATGCTGATTTGATTCTCATCCGCCAGAAAACCGGATCTACTTTTATGTATCCATTCAATTCAGCGTGACCAAAGTGCTAAGATCCTAAACATTTCCTCATACTCCTTGTTTCTTCAGGCAAACGCTTCATACATTTTCATGATTCGGGTCATCAGTAAGCATTATTATGAATCAGGGGAAAACAGTTGAAAGTTACCAACGAGAAGTAACTAAATGTAAATGTATACATTTACTGAAACAAGCAATCAGGAAAAAGTGAATAGCTCGAAGATGTTTCCTAGATTGATGAATACTTCATGAGGTAACTATCCACTTTAGAGAACACCATATTACCATGAAAGTCATAAATCTAAAACCGGAGTGATTTACAATTTTAACTATTCCTTCATCAATACTGAAAAATATAACTTCTTTTCATTAGTAGGTGACTTGAGAATTTCCATTAACTTAATTTCACTACACACTAGGTTTCGGATAAGTTTTCCTCAGGCTATAACAAAATTAAAAACAAACGAGCAAGGAAGAATGTTCTGATTATATAGTTTTGGCAATAGGTGAAACAGAATTAATGATAACACACCACACTAGTAGACTTTTAATTCTCCATCAATCCGTTTTTTCAACCAAACAAACTTTTTCCACAGGTAAACATACAAATAGAAGAAAAATAAAAATGTCTCCCATTCTGACATATTTGTGAAGACGTACCTTTGGAGTTTTTCAATTTATGAGTCTATTCACTCAAAATGTGTTAAAACAATTAAACAAACCCTATAAAATAGTTTTGTACTTACGCTGAACTTTCTGAAATGCATTCCACGGGCGGTAAACACTGTAAACGTCTCCAAAGTGTCTGAAATGCATCCGTTTGTGGAAGACACATGAGTAAGCAATATAAGGTTTCTCGAAGATCAGTGCTGAAACGTCTATCAAGCATATGCATCCGGAGACCTGAAACAAAGTAAAACAATCACTCATAATAGGCTTTACCGTTTCAATATTATAGAGCTATGTTCACACTACTAAAACTGAATGATAAATATGAACAGTAAAATATGAGAATGTCAGTCTAGATGACAAAAATCTATAAAAACTCAATGTGTCATCCATTTTTTAAGTAAAGTAAAGCCTGCCAAACGATACGACATAGATATTTTTAAATTTAGAAAGTAGTCAATAACAAAATGTTTACAAAAACTAATTAATAAGGCAAATACATACAGACACATACACAGTTTCAGCATTGTAGTACATCTCAAAATTTCGGAAACTCATTTATTTTGACATAAATATTGCTGCTGATTACTCGTATAAGATTTTCTGTCTGTGCGAACTATTGAAATTTGTGCATGTGTTACACATATCATGTCTTCATCCAGATAAACAGTATACGTATGAGTGTACAGACTGTAACATGCTGAAATCTGGCTATCAATTCACCAAAAGTAAAACTGACACATCTCCAAAAATGCTGATTTTGGGTCTGTCTTTCAGTAATGAAGATTTCTAAAGTAGACACAGATAATAAGTAATACAACTTACTGGTGAATATTGGTGATTCAATCATCTGAATTAACTGGTCCAAATCGTACAACATTTCAACGGTTATAACAATACCTCCACTTGTTGCATAATGATCAAGTGGCGATGCAAGAAACTTAGGTTAAGAAAACAAGCTAATATTTACTTATTATGAAAATAAAATGCTTGAAAGCTGATCAACGCAGAATACCTTGAGTCACAATGTGATAAAAGTAACTCACGGACAACAAACAAACAAACTCTCAGATTACAAATTATAGTGATAGGGCTCCACCAGACACTAAATTAAACACATTCTACTGATGAACTTGAAAAACACAGTCAATCCATCAGAACTACTCATTAAGAGGGTCGATCATTTAGGAAAATATGACATAAGAATACTTGCAAATAAGAAGTTTCAGTAAATTCAGTTGAAAGCTAGTATGATGTTACCACCTACAAACTATTTTGGTAGTTCTATTTCTAATACTAATAAGGAATTACTCAACCTCTACGATTTCGCTTTATGTCGCCTAGCGATTCGAAAATATTTTAATTACTAGGCAAATATTTCGCATGGAATTCCAATTGACACTCCTTTCTTGTGGGAAAAGAAAAGTAATGATGATATGCAAGAGATTGTGTTCAGTCAAAGGATACAATGATTTCACCAAACGGCTACAATGTTTATAATTCTGCGACAACAAACAAAGTGATAATAATGAAACTGGATTATAACACCAGGCTCGGTAAAGTTTTTCAAATAACTGACATTGAGTCTACAAAAGAAAACAAAAACATACGGTTAGCTTAATGAAACGAATGTAGAAGTTCCATTCAATTTTTCATGCATCAAAATTTAGTCAGGGATTGGTGTCATTTCAAGTACATGAGCGTTATAGTTTTGGTTCAGTTAAATAAACTAGGTGTCTACCCTGTCTCTCCACCTAACTATGTTATCTTAATTAATGCTGAGAGTAGATCTATAAAATTGAGAGTTATGTAATTAGTTTTCTTAACGGAGAGTTATTAGTAGAAACTCAAATATATATGTTGCGAGTAAATACTACTATACAAATCATGTATCTATTTATTAGAACTATTTCACAACTGAAGTGTTGGCTGGTTGGTTTCACTCTCTAATATCATAGGAAACATTTCTTAGACATTTGAGGAGAACAAACTATGAGTTGAATTGAATTCACAATAACCACATCTGTTATGCTCGTTTTCTTCACGAAGTGAAATGCGTGTCCAATTTCTTCAGTATATAACATAATGCTAAGCATACAGAAATTTATATATTTCAGAAGTGATCTTAGCTATTTGGTGCTAAGTACTTAAGTGCGATTCGCAAGAGTGGAGGATTATAACTCCATAATGGATAAGATTTTATTTTGTTAAATCACACAGTGTTGTACAGTTATATTAACTGATGACGTTTCGAGCACAAACTATTGCTCATAATCATATCAAGTTATATAAGTGTGAATCAATCAAATTTGAAGTGGGAAGCTGTTTGATCAAATACTATTGCCAAGTAATTACAGCCATGTCAAGTTAGAAAATGGTTATGCAACATTCCACTCAATGTCAAGTCAGTCTGGAGACACCATATTATTTCCAGTTGTAAAGCCATACTCTGCTGTCACAAATTTGATTTATTGCAGTATTGCATATAAGTACTCTCTTGTTTTCTATTTATTTCTGAAACGGTCTTAGAGTTTCACGAGACTCGGTATCAACACCGACTACTGGGTCCCTTCGAACATTGCCGAATGATCTTCGTTTTGCACCGTTGTTGCTCTCATGGAAGTCGAGGTATCTCTGGCTGATCATCCAGTATGCATGTATGTATCGAGTTGAAGGTTGTTAAATTTATTTTTTGAAAATTACTCTGGCTCCTCTATAACTGGTGATTTTTAATATAATAACCCTCTACAACCATCTCGTTTGCCTTAATTACTTATAAATCCAAATTCTAATTTGTACGTATGTATTCATCTGTGATCAATACAAACTTTCATTGTCCCTGTGGTTTTCTGGTTTCCTCATTCAATGTAAAAGCAATCAATATAATAAAAGGATTCAGCTCGTGTTTCTAATTGCAGTTTTATTGAAGACGAGGAAATGGAGTTTTGTAACACAAACTGATAAATTCGCCTGAATATTATAGTCCCTATGTAGGTGTAGGTAGTTCGTTTATTCCGAGTTTGATTACATCTCAGTCGATGTAATTTCACAGTCTCGTCTATTGACTTCCCCGCCTTACCTAGCACTCGACGCCTAACCTCAATATTGCTCACCTTATCATACCACTTCACACGAGAGATGGAACGCAGACACCTATGATCGAAGACAGCTAGTCTTTTCATGTCTTCCGCTCTCAATGGCCAGGTGTCACAGCCGTAAAGGAGGACGGAAAGGACTTTTGAGCAGTATACACGCCCTTTGGTCGATAGTCGGATATCAAGTCTACGCCAGAAACGGCGTAAACTGGCATTTGCGAAAATAGCCCTCTGTATTCACTGTTCACTGAATGGATTAAAGGCGCATTGAAAGCAGTGAGTGAAGCAAGCATCACCAGATAACCTCTCGGTCGACAGTATTGAATTCCGCCTTTAGGTCAAGAAATATAATGATTGTTAGACGCTGGTAGGAATGCCTATATTCTAGAATCTGTCGAAGGGTGAAGATATGTTCAATACACCCTCTTCCTCGCCTAGAGCCTGTCTGGTTTTCTCGTGTTTGTTCCTCCCGAGCACCACTTAGTCTACGCATGGTTATTGAGCCTAGAGCCTAAGATAATATATTAGTAAATCTAATCCCCCTGTGATTATCACAGGAAGACTTGTCTCCCTTCTCGTATATCGGGATGATCAGTGACTTACACCAACCCGATGGGACTTCCTCTGATTCCCAGACGCTGCCTAGAACCTCAGTTAATGCAGACAGAAAACTGTCTCCACCGTACTTAAATACCTCTGGAGTCAGTAAGTCAGGTTCCGCTGCTTTTCCTTGCTTCATATTGGTGACGGCTTTAGTAACCTCAGTTAGGACGGAGGACCTGTGTCTACCTCCCATTCAGGGAGGTGTTGGATGTCCGGCAGGTTAAGTGTGGCTGTGGGCCAATTAAACTGCTCCTCATAGTGTTCTTTCCACCGTTCCAGTCGTCTATCCTGGGAGCTAATTATGGTGCCATTTTTCTCTGAGATTGTTTCACTTATCATTTGCCTTTTGCCACCTGTTTCCCTGATAAGCCTGAATAGTTGTCTGGTGTTGCCAATCGCCGATGCCTTTTCCATCTCTTTCGCTTTTGTCGCCCACCACTGTTCACGGTCGTTGCGAAGACTTTTTGTTAGTCTTCATTTAAGTAGCGTTCGCTCCCTATCATACTCGGAGCTCACCGGAATCAGTCTTCTAGCGTCAATAAGTTCGGATGAGGCGGTAGAGATCCAATGGCTTTTATTAACTTTAGGTTTTAGCTTATTGACAACTTTCACGGCTGTGTCCACAGCTAACTGTATGTTGTGCAGGGCTAACTCGGGGGAAGTCCTGTTGTCGACCTCAGTAACTCGTTTCGCTATTTCTTCCTTAAATAAGGACTCAGTGTCTCGATCTAGTTGGGGACGTAACTGTTTCGCTGCCAGCAATTTCCTATGTCCATTTAGTCGTAAGCATAAACGTGCGCGAACCAGAGCGTGATCGGAGACTACGCATGTGTTCCAGAAGGAGCGACAGTCTTCTACTGACCCTCGCCAACGATACCCTATGGCTATGTGGTCTATCTGAGTCCAGCGTTGATTTGGTGACGGATGTCGCTTAGAGAATCATTGAAAGCAGGGAGTGAGTGCTGAACAGCCATTTCATCCTAGTTTGTGACTGCTTAGCAGTACACAGCCACACCGGTTCGTACTTATGTGCAGTACAAGAGTAATTTAGTTCAATGTCTCTACCATAGAATAAGATGCGTGACTGCATTGGTGGAGCAAAAGAGACGTTAAGGCAGCATATAACTAGGAGGAATTTATCAAATATAAGGCAGGATTCAATGAGTAAGTAGAAGCGTTAGCTACGAGGGCAGTTCGATGTCGACATACCTGATCAAGCTGTATGCTGAACAGATCAATTCACAATGTATTAATAATTACTGCATCAACGTGAATAAGAATTTATCTGTCCCTGTGTAAGTAGGGGTGCGGTGGGGAGAAGTACTGATTCAGCTTGAGAGAGTTAGGAGTAAGTAGGTCAATACACAGTGCGCCGTCAATCCATTCAGTGAACAGTGACTATAGGATGAAAATACAAGAAGAATTTGCGGTAATATACTGAATACCGAGCATTCTGTCTAAAACACTCATCCATATCTAAGTGCATGCGAATTAGTACGAGTAAGCCTAACTTGTAATTGCGACAAAGTATGTTCAGCCTTTATTTCTACATTAGCGATTATAGACTTTTTCATCACCTGACATTTTAATGCTGTATTACGTCCTTCTACACCTTAAGAACATTGCAAACTTGACTGATGGAAATCAGTCAGCACTTAGGACTACACAACAACACATTCTAAATCCCAGTGATCAATTAATTTAAACAATAACAGTATTCTTTCTCAGCTCTTCTTCATAGTCTCTTTCAAAAAGTCTAGGCATCATCACACCAGTATAATTATTTGACGCTCTTTGAACATTCACATTACCTCATTCCAATGATTACAACTGACTCTTTGAAATCTGTGGTTTTGTTGCTTATATCAGTCCGTGATGAACTCGTAAGAAGATTATAAATTCATTTTGTGTCATATCCTAAATTGCAGGTATGTGAATCACTGACAAAATTAACTATCTATAATTTCCCCCTTTGAACTCAACCACATAAGATCCCATCTACCATATTACTGTTTCTTACATAACCGCAAATTCTCATCTATGAAATTAATCATGGGTTTCTAACGCTTCAACAAAGTAGAGAAAAGAAAGAAAGCTAAAATAAAGGGGGGAGGGATTGAGGAGAAAGAATATTGACGATTTGATGAATCTGGGGCATCATTAGGAGTGAATGCATCTGAGCTGTTGAGAATGATTTCGAGTCATACTACCAACACTCTCAAGTCATGGGTTACGGACATCTCCAGGAGCCCAGTCACGCAGTCTCTACCCCACTCACTATGTGGCTCAAACCAAAAGTCAAAAACGTCGAGAATTGGTGCATGTCTCGACCTGAGTAATAGTTTTATTTGATATGAACACATTAAGGACATGACTATGAGAAGTAAGTTTCATTGCAAACGTCATCACTAGATGAGTGACATTGGGTGTGATGAAGTTATTCTACTATAGTATTAGTCTTGCACCCAAGTCTTTTAAAGTGCTGTGATCATATCGCTCACTTACAAAGATCTACAGTAATTATCTCTATTAGATCGAATGACACTCATTTTTATAACTGCTACTGTTTCCATATTGCTACATCAATTCAAATGATAAGCAGCTATAACAAAGTTCTTTGGTAGTATTATACATCGATTGCTAGCAGAAGGACAACTTGTCTCTTGATTGAAAACGTCAGTCCAAATTTCACGTTCTTAATAATTACGGTCATCACTGAGGCAAATTCATTAGTTGTGATGAAACTAGTGTAGAAACAGAAGAAGAAATAGCGTATCTAGGAAAACTGGTCATCATGATGTAGGAGTAAAGTTAAGGATTATTTTATTGTTAACAATGCACTTTTAAGTTTTTAAAAATTCAACTATTTTCACTTACCTTCGTACTGATTTTTCGCAGCTGTTTACGAAAATCATTTAAAACTGGTTGTGTTAGGAGAATTCGATTCAATGCTTGTATTAGTACAAATGCAGAATCCAGTGGTTTAATATAAGAAATAATTGTAGAAATGGTGCAATAAACGATATCAGCTCCAAGAACCTGACAAAGATCACTAGACGGAAATCAAAACAAACAAGTCAATAGAAACTCACGTGAAACTCTAAAATATAAACACAAAAAACATGCTGACTTTCAATACATCTGATTTTGCAAATATAAAACCTGTCCTGGGTGTACATAGATTCCTGAACAGTTAGGCAAATGGATTATTTTTGAATCACTATAGAATAATTTAATAGTAAATATTTCAATAAATAATAATCTATGATAGCTGAACAGATAGATACATTGTTTTGTATTTTCTCATCAGATTTTATATAACTACCACCTGAAACATTCCTCGAAAACAACCATTCGATACTGTTACAGTTAATAAAATTCCAGTTAACAAATAAGGACTAGAGCACAAAATAAAGATGAAATAAGAATGAATGAGTTCTTATGTAAACAGCGAACGTCTATCCGAAAATTTCTAAAGCTTAACGGAATGAAACTAATTCCGGACTAATGACTTAACACCAAACCTGAGAAAATTGACAGCTAAGAACATTCCCGGCGTTAAAACCCAGTGTCAACCAGGCATTTCTTACATGGTCTAAATCAACAGTCAAAACTTCAAGTATTCATGCCACGTTCTGTTATCACAAAACCTCACTCTTTTTCAATATAGTGTTATATCAGCTAACACTGCTTGTCGAGTAAGGCGACAGATCAGTCTGCGTAACACATGTCTTAGTCATTTCGCTACCCACACGTAACTTCGCCATCTCACTGATTTAGTTTCCCTCCTAACGCAACACTCTACATCTAACAGCATTATTCCTCACCATAGTATATATATCAACACCAAACCTACCTGAGAGATAAGATGCAGACACCAATGATCAAAGACAGTCATTCCCTTTATACCTCCCACTTTCAACGACCAGATGACGCAAAGAGGGATGTAGTGAACTAACGTAAGTCCTTCATTGGATAGATGGATATCACGATTGCATCGACGACGACGCAACTTAGTGAGTAAAAAACGCTGGTTTTGTAGTGGCGCTGAGATTTCATCAGTATACAGTTGATTTTAGGGGATGCAACTTCACAAATAAGTTAAAGGTCAACACGTTTGACCATTTGTAGTTTCTATTCTTAAACCAGCAGTCAGTACAGCACTATCTTTATTTGAAAACAGAGGATTACTTTGAGTTTTGCTCAAGTTGTCTCGAGTTCCCCGCGTTTTGCCAAATTTTTTACATACGAGGACACTATCTTCTGTCTACTCGAAATCAGCGACACTTTTGCCTAATGACAAACTAATTCTTGAAACATCGAGGTCAACGATGAAATCAAGCTGAAGATGACAACATCCCGCGATTTAAAGTAGGGTGCAATACACTTTCTCAGTAATCCCGTCACATCCAGTCATTTCCACATCACGTTTTGACAGACAGAGTCAAATCTCGAGTTCACGTCAAGAAAGATTACAAATGTTAGTCAATAGTCGATGGATGTACACCATACAGTTCATTTATTTGATCATGACTTGCTAGTTGTGTCGTCATAGTTTTAACAATGGAATCGATTTGTTAGTAAAGGATTTTTGAAAATATAAATGACTAAATATAGGAATTCCCATACACAACGGTATGATAAACGTTCTGAATCAATGTACACCTAACAATCAAAATATCCCTTAATACAATATCAGTCAAATAAAAACTATAATAATCATTTATTACGTGATAATCATATCTCCCCGTTTTCGTAACAACTCGGGATCCTTGTTGAATAAATGAATTAGATCCAAGAGAAATTGTAGACAAAATGTATTCGGAGTCGACTGTGGCACACCTACAGAACTGCTGGCTATTCGATCACTTGATCGTGTATTAACAAAATCTGATTCGTGCAGTAATTCCAAAAGTTCTTCAGGCATAATAATAGACTGTTTGCTTAAATAATCCCCATCGGAATTGATTGTAAGGTAACTCAGTCTTCCAATCAACCAAATCGTTGAATGTACCATCTATGAAAATAAAACAGTGAAATAAGAAACCATTGCTATCATCATTTTAAATTTGGCATAAAACACTTTTATCCCATTTTAGTGAGGAAACCTACTTCATCAGCAGGATCGGAAACTAACTTGAGCATTTCCGGCAGAAGACGATCAATTTGTGAAAATACTTCAGCGGAGCATACTTCTGCAAGCACAGTAATCCAACGAAGTGCTGCTAAACGAGTTAACAGGCTTGAATTATTGAGAAGTTGGAACGTGACTTCTAATATAGCTTCCGAACACAAAATTTGTGATCCATTTTGTTCTGCACCTGATTCTGAAAGTTGCTTAGTTAAGTTGTTATCCTGTGAACTGTAAGCGAAGGTAAATTAAAGACACTTTATTGATCTTATCTCCCAATAATACATAGTATACTGTCATACACGAACTGCTAAATAGTCTCTTCAAAACATCTGTCAATAACCACTCCACGATTACGACTGTCACTACTGTCAGTTTTATTTCCTAGGTGAAAATATTCATGAAATAAAAATTCCGCAGCACAGGAATTTTCAAAATACGTTTTGTTGGATTAGAAAAATGCATATGTCACTATTTTTTCCTACTTTTTGTGAGGCTGAAAACAACGCATTATTGTAGTTCTGAGTTCAAAATCCTTTCACAAGGAAGGCACATCTAAGAATATGTGGTTGACAATAAACACTAATTTCACGACACACCGAAACTCAAAAACTACTAGCTATTTCACTCCTCGCAGATACAAAAGTGAGATAATGTCAAGAAGTACGTAAACAGGATACACATCCTACATTTTGTTATGTTAAACAAACACAACTGCATGCAAATATTTCATGTATGAAGAGAAAGCTGTAGCGGTAGATAATTCCCCAAAATTATTCGCCAAAGCATTCATCACTGAACAGTGGATGCTGGCCGTCACTGTTTAAGTAGACTTGTTTAGCTGAAGGCTCACGGTCAAGTATCCACGCCATTTGATGTGCTGTCGTGTTACGTTCGTTCGTTCGTGCACGATTCCTAGCTAGTTAAGAAGTCATCCTCGTACCACGATTTCTCCCAAAATATATTTCATATTTTGGACGATCGATTCGGTGTTTTGCTTTGTTTTTGGTTTACGTGGAACGAATACTATAGGAGGTAGGGGTATTATATATTGCGTTAGTATACATCGCGCTATTCTTGAACGTCAACACCCTCAGCTTTTAAAAAACTGATACATTCCATACAATTAAAACATATCAATCCAACACATATCAAAACTTACAGTTTGACTACACTCTCCGACTGATTTCCTGAATTTAGTGAATCCATATGAGAGATTGATGAACTGTTTGTATTCACATTAGTCACTGAACGTGAATTGAACTGCCTAACAGCTTTCAAAAGGGTTTCGTTTATGCATACAGCAGTTTCTAGTGAAACTTAGAACAAAAATAACGACGAATACACAATAAGGAACAACGGAAAGAGTAGATTTGATGTAAACACAATCAATTAAGTTAGTACACACTTAACGGAAAGGTAAGGATCAAAGTGAAAAAGAGAGGTAATAGTAACAAATATCTCTAACTAAGCCAACAAAATACGAATTTTATTCAGACAAGCGATGCCAAGTATTAATATTACTCAAATTACTAAGCGTGAGCTGCAAGATACTTAGGAAGATAATGAGAATGAAATTATACTTCAAAAAGTGTTCATCTAAATATTTCCCAGTTCCCAACACTATTTATAAATAATAAAGCTGGATAGCCAAAGCTAGGGGAATAACAATAAATTACGCTATCTGTTGTGGGAAACGGATATGGTCAAACAATACAATGACAATCCCTTTGTCATATACTTCCTTGGAATTTATCACTCCTTCGTAATTACGTTGGAATCCAACTGCATCTTGATGATTAATCTTACGATAATTAAATGTATTATTAAAGGCAAAAGTGCTTGTAGAAAGAGTTAAATAACTTCGAATTATTATAGAACAAACGACAGTAGCACTGTAATTACAGTAACTAGTGGTTCTTCTTCCAGCTGACTCAATAAATAAATATAGTGGAAATTGAAAAGGATATACGAAGATACTGTATACGTGACGCCAGCCCTACTTCCAAACCGTAACCCTCCCTACCACGTAATTATTCGAATGTAATCTTTTCTACGCCAAACGTAATAGCACCATATGAAAACAAACTTGTTAGGAGCTTCAAATTTTAAACTAGTGAATCACCAATACAGCAGATCAAAAAATATATATCGAAAAGAACTTCATGCATTCGTTTTAAGGAGATCACTATGCGAAATTCTATAGTCAAATGTGCTCTATCAAGAAAGAAATAAAGACAGATCTCTAGGCAACACGGATAAATTGGTTTCCAAAATATTTACATGGAAGACAATTTTAAATTTCTGAGACAAGATATTTATCCAAAGCTAAACAGTAAAGCCAATACTCCGTCACTATATAATCTGATGAGCATTAACGCTAACATGTAATAGCTTTTTATTTTTTCTAAATGAGTGCCTACAGAAGTGCAAAATTAAACGTTTTTCTTGATGATGTTTTACTATTACTTAAGGTATGCGCCAATTTTCCAGTTTCAAAGACACATTATACAAATTTTTGTTTGAGAGTATGACATCAAATGGCTTCGAATTTCGTGTTCTGAGGAATATATAGTTCTCACTTAAAAAGATAAAACGTGGATCCCATCACCTCTGAAACGATACAAAACTCAGGGAGAACAAAAATCGTTCGGTAACACGATTGAAAACCAAATTGTTTCCAAAGCTTACCTCGTCTTTCCGCTGTAGCATCATGCGGTCCACAGGACATGAAACATGGTAGAACAGCACCAATAATTCCTGAAGCATAGGAAAGCATATGATGTGGATCCAATTCAACGAAGGTTTTAATCCATTTCAGAGCAGCTCGTTGTTTTAACTGGTCTGGGGAACAACTAGTAATTCCATTTCTCGACGCGGCTGAATCCAAAACACTTGGTGTATTCTGCAGTAGA